GTATTTAGTTTAAATTTAAATATGTAACACTTTATTTATATAAACGTAACTGAATATTTTCAGTACGTGAGCAAAATGCTCACGCGCGACAATGCATGTCACTCTGCGGAGCGCGCCTTCTCTAGGGTTAAGCGCGGCACAAGACCGCCTACACAAAAAGGAGTACAACGCGAAAGATTATTGGCCTAAGGCCGCACCTGCAGAAAGGAGTTCTGTGCAAAAAATTAATAATGTGTTATTTAAACACGGATTTTAAAAAGTTAAATTTTTTTCCTTTAAATGGAAATATCTCAAAAGCCATAAGTCAGCGCCAGCTATGTAGTAAAATTAGTCAAAAAATTGTGGCACAAATCTCTAATAAATTAAATACAAACACAGAATTGTGAGTGCACGTGTTTATTATTTCAAATTCGGCTTAAGAATATTTTTTGGTAAACAGAGAAACTTAGCTTTACTTGCGTTATTCCTTTATCGTAAGTATATTATACTGGCTGTTGATTATTTATTTATGTTAAGTAAGCGAGACCGCCCAAAATCGCTTATTGCTACTTTGGATTTTTAATTAAGTTTATGCTGCTGGACCGCAGAAAACGATGCGAAGTTTTATTTGTTTATTTAAAAGTAGCAGGGCCACAGCAATTGGATATTATTAGGTAGAGTGTGAATGAATATGTCACTTTCAATTTGGTTGAGTATGCAGTGAATTTGTGCTTTCTTACGTCTAATTATATTTGTAATACACTCGCTATTTATTTCTTTACTTTATTTGTTATAAATTTTATTGTTCACTTTAAAATAACCATTATGGTTGGGATAGGGAATTACTTGAATTGTGTTGATTAATACGTAATGAATGGGGATATGTGATATTATTAGTAGTTCATTCCTTTTATGATTAATCCATGTAGACCTCGTTTTTATATTTGTTCATTATGCAAAGATATTGCACTTAATTTTTTGATTAGTTTATTGTATAAATATTTTATCTGAGATGTGTCTATATTGTTTTGTATTTTATTGCCAAAATATAATATGTGGTTATTGCAGTGATTTCTGTTGATTGTCAAACAATGGTGTTCGAACACTGATGACACTTAAACCGGTTTGCCTGAAAATAATATAACCGTGATCAGTATCGGTTTTTTAATTTAATTTGTTGAGCATGACCTATAGTGAATAATAGTAATAGTATCGTCAATGTTCGCCAGGAACTTGTAGAACTGCAACTTCATTAYTTGTTTTAGTTTTTTAATCTGTATTTTGTAATAGTTAGTTATTCTATTTCGGTTAGTTATTTTGTAATGGTCAGGGTCAGTTTGTTCAAGAAGAGGACCCTTTCGGTTTGGGGGTAATTTTAAATGGCATTTTAGTGTCTCTGTGTTGTCTTGGTCATGTTACACACATTGCATTAATTTATAACGTTTTGAATTAATAATTGGCTATTTGGAAAATAATAATTTTCTTTAAATAATTTGGTAATTTTTTGGATGMCTGGGTGCAAAAGTTTAGTTTTTCGTGGCATGGATAATTATTTCTTTGAATTCTGCATATAAGTTTCCAGCTATTTAGAACTATCTTCCCAGCTGGCAATGCTGTAACTTAATTAATGGTTGTTTAATGTTCTACTTATAAAAGATATAGAGTGATTGTTTTGGGAAAGGACCGCCAAAGACCAAGCTAGGGTCTTTAGTCAGTACGTTTTTTTTCTCAATATTTGGAAGTTGTGAAATTGGTTCGTTTGCTGTTGAACATTGGCGTAGTTTGGAATAAATTTACGGTAGTAACCAGTCATTCCGAGAAACACGAGAACGCACGAAGGAATGTAGTTTCCTTTTTCAGGAACTCGCATTTATTTAATTGCAACTTTAAATTTGCTTCGTACAACTTTTCAAAAACTATTTGCAATGAGTTTATCGAGAACTGTGGAAAAGATAATTATATCATCAAAATAAACCAAACAACGTTTGTTAATCAATGGTCGAAGTAAAATGCTTATTCACCTTGGGAATGTAGCCGGCGCGGTTTTTAAGCCCAATAGCATACGGACGAATTCATAGTGTATGGATTACGGATCCATTTCTATCTGGTGAAAATCTCTGGCCAAGTATATTATATAATGGTAAAGTACTGTCTTTTTCCCAGTTTTCCAACCATTTCATCCACGTTGGGCATGGGATACCTATCGGGAATAGTTATGCCATTTAGTTTTCTGTAATCGATTATTATTCCGTATTTTATTTTACCTTTTAGGAGAGTTTTTTTCTCTAATTAGTTGTAAAAGCATTTCCTGTTCTTGATCTTATATTTCATGAATTTTCGCGAGTGGGTATTGTTTTGAATAAATAGGAAAATTATGTGTTGTATTAATTTCATATTTAATTGTATTTGTAAGTGTCAAACGATTGACTTCCAAGTACTGAATATTTTTAAATTTGTCTAATAGATGTTTGGAAAATGTGAAAAATCTATTTTTTTGATAGTTGTGGGAATTAAATTTTCGTATGAATCTGGTAGATATTGGGTAAAGTATGTAAAATTGATCTTTGTCTATATCAGAATCTACTATCTGTTATGTCTTATCAAAAAGTGAAATTGTTCGAGTTTTATAATAGCTTGTGCTTTATTGCGAAGTGTCTTGCCGATTAACATATCGTAATCTCTAGAAAAATAGTTCAAGTATGGTGTTACTATGGTATATGGTATATGGTAACGGAATTTTTAAGTACCATGGAGCCGTTTGTTGTAAAAACTAATGCTAAGTTTGTATTTTGGATCGGAAGAGAGAAATTTTTTTTGTATCATATTAGTTGTGGATCCTGTGTCAATCAATCATTTGTAAGTACAATTTCCGTGCTTTATTTCTAAGTAGTTATTATTGGTAACTGAAAATTTTCGCCAAACTTAAATCATTTTGATCGGTTGGTGCTTGGCAGAGTTCATTATTAATCTGATCTTGGTGTTGAATATACTCAGTATGCTTCAAAAAAATTTTTGGATTTTTTTTTCAACTCTGACCTCCTCAAAGGTTAGTGATTGACAAAAAAAAATACCCTCCCTCAAGCCAGGCGCTATAGCTTAACTCTAAGTGTTCGCTACCAAACAATAAGTCACTCATAATTCTCGTGCTGTCATATGGTGCAGAGGCTTGGACGATTACGCAACGTCGACTGCGAGTTTTCGGGAGAAAAGTTCTGCGAAAGATGTATGGTCCTTTACGCATTGGCCACGGCGAATTCGATGGAGACATGAGCTGTATGAGATATACGACGACATTGACATAGTTCAACGAATTAGAAGACAGCGGCTATGCTGGCTAGGTCATGTCGATAGAATGGACGAAAACACTCCAGCTCTGAATGTATTCGACGCTGTACCCGCCGGGAGAAGCAGGTCTTCCCACTCCATTCGAAGGACCAGCTGGAAAAGGACCTGACCCTGCTCGGAATATCCAATTGGCGTCACGTAACGAAAAGAAGAAACGCTGTTGTTAACTCGGCTATAATCGCGTAAGCGTTGTCTATGCCACTAAAGAAGATGAAAAAGAAATCTACAGGTTCATGGTGAGCTAAAATGATAAATAATTGAATTTGTAGTTCACTAATTAATACCTTTATTGAGTCCCTCATCGCTTGCAAATAAATTAAGAGGTTTGCCTGATTACCTTCTATGTGTAGTTTTGATACCAACAGTTGTCGTCCGCTCTTAGCTTCCTCGCAGATTACTCGCAAACTCCCCTTGTAAGGTGTCTCGCGAAAGTTCGCAACAATACGTAGTTTGGCGTCTGCTTTTTGTACTCCGCAATCAATCTAAGCTTCAGGGTTGTCCAATCTTCAATGTTTGAGAGGCCCAATGATCTGGTAACAAGTCCACCTAGGTTTCGTTTGACAGCTCCAAGTAGAATGYGATATTGTCGTGCGTCATTGGTTTGGTAAAGCGACAAAATATATTAATTTCTACTGATGAAAGTAAAGAGCGTTTCTGTTCTCCCTTAAACGGGGGAATATATTTTCGTTGTCTAAGGCATTATATAACCCTACATGTAACAAAAGAATCAGCTGCTTTCCAAGAATTTTTCACAGCTGAGATCACCTGATCGAAATCTGCCTTTTTTTAGGCACAGAGATGTAATTAAAACAATTGTAGTAGATCAACTTTTTTGTGAAAAAGTATTTGTAACGGAAAACATTAATGAAAACTTTTAAGAATATTTTTAAAACAAAAGTTTATTGGATATTTATTGCTCTTCTTCACCACCTCTGAGGTTGCAATGTATGCGCGCTACCGATCTTTTTTAGGTGTTCGATTCCCTTCGGAGGCCTATTTTCACCCTTTTTATATATAGTTTTAAATCAATCTACTTATTATAAAAAATATGACTAGACAAAAATGAGTAAAATCTAAATCACCCACAGCGAAATACTTATTAAAAACCCTTTCAAAGGAATAGTGGTGGAAAAAAGGATCCTATACCTGGTACACGAAAACACTTAAAAAACAAAAAAAAAAAAAAAAAATATTGATAATAAGCGTACAAACCAAATCGCTAAAATGCAGATCAATTTAACTATGGAAATGCGGCCTTCGACAGATAAACTTTTTTACAAATACAAAATACAGACAGACATATATACATATAAATTCCGACTAATGTAGACAGACAAACGGGAGTGATTATAATTTATGTGTAACACACAAGATCTTTACGTTTTTGAAATCACTTTGTTTCACTTTTTTATTAAAAACGTTTACTAGGTATTTAAATGAGTTAAGCATCTACCCACTCTACCCGGGAAAACTGGCGCACCCTAATAAGACAGCTTAATTTACCACAGCTGATACGCAACCCAAATCACCACACCAAACCAACGCAACTCACCACACCTGCACCCACTCAACAAAAAGGATGGACATCGGGATAGGATTCACAATTCGTTTACACAATTCGTCCCATATAGTTCGCCCATCACTTCCTCTCACACAGTGCCCCGCGACGACACCATTCGCCACTATTCGCAAAGTACCTTTCGCCCCGAAGTACATATCCTGCTCGCTAAGGTCAAGTCGACACTGACGTGATACGACGAGCTTGCGCGATAAATATTTTGGGTACTAATTTCCCTTTTTAACATAGGCATACATTTTATATAAAAGTAATATGTACGCAATACACATCAAATTAAATAAATTGTACTATTATAACTAAACAAGATCCGGACTTCTTCTTTTAAATAGTTATATTGTGTGCATGTGTGGTTAGTATTATTATCAAATTAAACGCTAGGAAATATGTTCTAATTCTAATGAATAGACATTTTATAATATCAGAATTACAATTTTCACAACAATAGTACGGTTCTACGTTAACTATTTTTTCAAATAATATTTGGGAAAACCCGATCCTATGGCAAGTAGAATCAAAATGTTKTGTRTRAATAWCTTCGATTTTTGATAGAAAATCTATAAATTCAAGGGGTGGTTTTACTATTTGGCAATTACTATATTGCTTTTCTGAAGTGAAGAAAAAATCTTCTTCAGTAATACCACCATCAAATCTTGGCAAGGACATTAAACAATTATGTTGTTTAAAATATTTAATAATACCGCAAAAATTTTATGTAGAAAGCTGCTTTAATTTACGTCCGCGTTTACCTCGATTTGTATATTTTGAAATGAGGTAGAATTGGTAGGTCTTGGTAAACTTTGAAAAGTTTGCCAAGAGGTATTTTRAACCAAAGCGTCGTTGCAGGCGCTTTTGAGGGAGCTATTAGAAAATGACTCACACTGGTCAACTGGCAAGAGTTCGCAGTTCCCTTTATCTACACAACGAATATATCGTATGCCSCAGGCTTGTCTGAAAAGATATGGGAAACGTTGCGGAGTTATTCTCACAACAAATACATAGTTTTTACACAAATATAATATAAATATTATTTTTATAAAATTGGAAACATTTAATAATATATTGATACAATAATTAATATCTTGGACAAAACTGATTAAATTTAATATTTAGGTATTTAAATAATCGAAAAATATTTGAATATTTTATAAAAATATTGTGAAAGTTATAAATTTAAAAACCTAACACGGCAACACACTGTATAAGATTTGAGGCATTTGAACGTTTTAGTAGTAGAATATTTGGGGACAACCCGTACCAAGTGACTAATTAGTAGCAGAATATTTGGRGGCAACCCGAACCAAGTGCCTAATTTGTAGTAGAATATTTAGGGGCAACCCGTACCAAGTGCCTAATTTGTAGTCGATTTTCGCGTATGTGCTAGTGAAAAATGAAGGATTGGTTACTTGTAGGTTTATACAATGGTCCAAGGGCCTCACTGAGATTGCCCTCATTGTTTTAATTCTTTTATTTCACTTTATTTATTTATTTTGCTTTTTCTTATTCTCTACTTAGTTGGGATAACCGATGTTTTCTAACAGCTGAAGCGCGAACAGAACAACAACGTTTTTCAAGTATCGAATTATAAAAGTTACTTCATTCTTCACTCGCGGTTCCTTTTTCGGATAGTTTAAGTATCCTACCGACTGTCYAAGTAAGATGAGTCAAATAATTGTGGCACAAATCTCTAATAAATTAAATACAAACACAGAATTGCGAGTGCACATTTTTATTATTTCGGATTCGGCTTAAGACTATGTTTTAGGTGAACAGATATATATAATATAAATAGTTGCGTTATTTTTTTATAATGAGTATACTGTCTATTGGTTATTTGTTCTTGTTACTTTGCAGTTTTAATTAACTTGAAGCTGCTGGGCCGCGGAAACCGATGCGCAGTGGTATATTTTAACTGTTTATTTAAAAGTGACTGTGCCACAGTAATTGCATTTTTTTAGGTGAAGTGTTAGTGAAAAATGAAGGATTGGTTACTTGTAGGTTTATACAACTTTCAATTATGTTGAATGTGAGGTGAATAATCATATTTTTTTCTTGATTTGGAGGACCACCTCTATCCGTATATAATTAACCCGCTGTTTATGTTTTGATAACTAAAGGTTGTCATCATTAGTTAAATATCTGAAGAATTTTGTATTTGCTTTTGTTCTCAGTAGACTTAGATGCCAACGGTATTAATCATGCAATCTGTCGACCTATTTTGAACTTTTATTAAGGAATTAAATACTATTGTAATTCTCAAATTATCGTTTACCTTAAAAGTTTCTCTAGAATGCGATTAGAGAATTGACAAATTTAATCATTAAACAACTTAAAGCCTTTTACTCGTTATTCGAGTTTACAGCTTCTTGCTAATAGCTCTTTATTAAGTAACATTCTAATAGAAATTACGTTTTCTACACAATTCCACA